AACCATGTAAAATTGTCATATTAAAAAGTTTCAATGCCTAATCTATTTTTATCACAACCACTGTACCCCATGTTAAACATGTAGTTTACATATGAGGAAAAAGTGGTTCTCTTAGCATTGAGATGTATCATTTTAAATATATTTCTAACAGTATTATTAGGTAAATAATAAAGACACTAATGCAATCTTCTAGGAAAAACTAGTTGGTGGTATAGTATGTTTTGTAAATTAGGCCCAGTCCCTTCTTTGTTCCAAGGTAGTGCATCAGAGGTGAGGAACTCCAATGATGCTATAGACAGATGCTCAGAATTTGCTATTATGGTGGTGAGTGCTCACATCACAGGACATTGCTAAGCTGGCATTCTCTTCCAGCACTGTGCACCTGGAGTTAATGACACCCCCTTCCTCATACTCAGATGGGTACTTTGCTTCTCATCTGATAGATCTCCGTTTGTTGGCTTTAGAAGATGTCAACAGGTTCAACACTGTGACATGGCTTCCCTAGGGGAAAACAGGTGCAGAGGTAAAGTCATGAATGATAGTTTATTATTTTATGACCTACCTAGAGACTGCATACAGTAGTAAGCACCTGAGAAAGGACTGTGTTATCAGTGGTTGTATATACTTCAGCTTATGATGACAGCTATAAAGAAAAATGAAGATATCTCTACAATAATGACAAGGTGGAGGAGCCCTGTGAACTGAAGCAGGTAGCTCAAACTAATATAGCAAAATCCCTGATGGCCAAACTGCTGCTAGGGTGAGGGAAGCATTGTCTAAAAGGGAGATAGGGTTTTAGGTCAAAATCTTCTGTTAAATGTTCACTTTCATAAGAAACCGAGTGATTGTCAAATACTATACAAAACTCAGTCTTATCCCAAAGCTAGAAATTTTATATCTATGTAAGAGTGAAACCTCAGGATGTTACCCATATTCTTGCTGAGTAATGATAAACTTAGCACTTTAAAAATAAATCTCTTTAACCCAGATCAATCCAAATCAATTGTGAGCAGACACAGTATAAAAAAGAAATGACAAGTTGGAAGTAGTATCCACCTAGCATATTACCTCTTTAGAACTGTGATCGCATGGCTGGAACTATTAGCGCGGAAGACTCAGGTCCTCCCAGCGTTAGGAAATTTAAGAAAGACTGTGTGTTATGATTCCACTTAGAGGCCACAGGTTGTGCAGGGGAGGAAGCTGCAGGGTAATATATAAACACTGGTCTGACTTTTACAAAAATAATGTATATTCCCAAAGACAATTTCTAATCCACTTAGTTACTTGAGGTGGGGGGCAGGCAGTCCAGGGTATGATAGGTAAACAGAATCCTATTGTAAATTAGATATCATCTGTGGCTCACAGGGCTGTTCTGGGAAAGGATGGATAATAGTTTGAACTGCATTCTTTATGTTTCTATAATCCTTGAACAATCCACTAATCTATTGAGCTAATATTATTAGCAGTCACAATGTGTCTATTCAATGTCAATAATAAAATCAAACATTTCTTTTTACGTCTAACGAGCCACTGTTACTACTGAGCCAGGCAGAGGTATGCATGCATGTCTCAAATTGCCTTGTAAATAAACTATAGTACCTGAAGTTTAAATTAAATTATGCATGTATGCTTGTGCACCTGCACACCACATGCGTGTGTGCACGTGCGCGCGCACGCGCGCGCGCGCGCGCACACACACACACACACACACACACACATAATCATTAAAAGAGTAACATCGTAAGAAATCATTGGTAAAATAGTATTTCAAAGCTTGTCTTCTGTCTTTCTCCTTCACAGTTGTTCCATTTCTACCTCCTCCCCTTTAGCTCTGTTCTCCCCTTCCCCAGTCCTCCAAAGAAACTCTTCTCAGAAAGCTCTTTCGCCTGGTTCACAGTTTACATAACGGGAAAAGTTTAAGTGTTAGTCTGTCAGAAACAAGGCTTTTCAATAAGCACATTCTATCAAAATGTGAGGCAGCAGTCTCTCTGAAACCCTATCTTCCAATACAACTATTTTCTCACAAGCGACTCATAATCCCCACATATAAGGATCACGTAAAGACTTTTAAAAAGACAGTTTCTATGCTCCATCATAAAAATGTTGGTGCTGGAGACCCGGGGTGAATCTGGCTGTTTTCTAAAAGCACACTATAGTGTGAGGGCAAGTAGCTGAGATTCCGAGGGCATGGAGCTTGCCATCAGCATAGGAGACTCTGCTTGGTTGTATAATACAGGCAAGCTAATCTGCATGATGCTTATTAGCCTCCTCTATAAGGTCAACATGATGACATCCTCTTCTGTAAGGCTGCTGTGAGGAGACAATGCATGTCAAATGACAAATCTGTCAAAGGTCTTTGGGTTGTTAATGAGTGAAAACGCAATTAGCTCACAAGAGTAAACATTCTTGAGAAGATCTGGCCTCAGGGTGACTTGATTCCCAATACACTAATTTTTTTTTCCCCAGGCTCCACTTTGATCTCTGACCTGCTATATTGATTCATTTTCAGACTCAGCATTCGTTTGTCCTTTTATATGAGTCGGTAGCATAATCCCCCCCACACACACACAGAGATTCAAATGTAATTCTCTCTAGCTATACTGACTGATTTCATTTTCTGACAGAATCAGCTTCGTGAGCCTCTGACCCTCTATTCATTTTTACTGAATATGCTAAGAATATGAAGTTCTGGCTAACTGCTGTTATTTCCCTGGATTATTTTTTCAAGGTTTTTTTGTTTGTTTTTGTTTGCAAGCAATTCCAAACAATTATGTCTCCTTCAATGACAAAGATAAACCTTGGCCACTCTTTGTCATGAAGTAGTGATGTCCCCAAAGTCAGCCTGACTCAGATATGACACAAACCCACTGGGACAAAGCAGCCACTCAGGCTAATACGTATCATCAATATGAGGAGTGAAGACAAAGACTACCCCATTAGTTTGCTCTATTGTTGTATCATTAGCAGCGAATTCCTGGATCACTGACCTGGGAATCCTGGGTCTTCCACCATCTGTGAAGCAGCAATTCTCTGGTTGGAAAGAAGGATAAATCAGATTAAAGACTCACATTATCCACCACTGAACTGATTAACAGGACTTGCAGAAAGCAGTGAGTTAGGTCTGGACTATTTAATCCACCTGTGGGGAGTGTCAATTCACCAGAAGTGGGAAGGGGGCAGGGTCGGTTCCTAAAGGAAAAGTGAGATACATTTAGCAAAAGTTCCTATTATGTGATAAAAAATTGAAATGGTTAAAATGGTTGTTGTTGTCAGTAATTATTTGTAGTATATAAAAGGAAGTACAGAGTTGAGACACTTCAGATTTTGAAGTGGTTCTCCTTAACCCAGTCATATAATCAACTTGGGTCACTTTAAACAAAAATGAACTTTATTTCTTTATGTGGAGCTTATCTGACTATTGAGCAAATATATTTGTGTAATATATTTTGTATAATAAAATATTCTAGGATGTTAATTATTTCAGAAACATAAAATGTATCACAAATGGGCTAGTGAGATGAGATGGTTCAGAGGCAAAGACTCTTACTGTACAATCCTGATGAACTGAGTTTTCATTCCTGGAACTAATGTAAAGGTTGAAGGAGAGAACCAATTCCATAAAGTTGTTCAGCCATCTCCATATACATGCCTTGGCATACATCCTGACACACTCACACCATGAACATACACCCGCCCTCAACAACAATACATATATTTTAAAAGTGTATTACACTATTTGATCCAGGGATTGAAAATGCCATCTGAACTTAAGAAAATCAATCACACTATAGATGAGTGTCTCTGTGTTAAAATAAACATAGAATAATTAAACATCTATCTAGATTAGTAGCAATTCATTGCATGCCTATAAGAATGTCATCATTTAAGTACATTTAAAATAAGGCAATAAAGGCATTTTAATGTTACACAGTGTGGTACAAATTGTAAAGCATATCGAAGATGACACTGAAATCAGAAACACACTGAAGAAAAGCAGGAAGTTATATGCAAAGTTTTGGTCAGGTCTGACCATCAGTAATTAAGGGGAAACTTTACTTAAGTGCATTCTAATATAACCGAAATAATGTAGCCTACTATACTAGAGATAAGTACTAATTATTAATGTATTTAAATAATAATATTAGTTATGTTTTGCTAATATTTATTCAGTAATATATGTATACATATGCATGATTATCTGTGTTATATATTTGGAGCTTGTGATAGCATTGTGGCGATAACCCAGTCCCATGAATTAGACTGACAGTTTCAGTTCTCTTCAGACTTCATAGCAGTTACACAAAACTGTCAAAAACCAGGTTCAAATACAGCAACAGGGAAGAAAGGGAAGGCCAGAGAATTAATATTTATCAGCATCAACTTTGTAAGTAACACAGTTGCTAGGTGCTTTATAAACCGTCCCATTCAGTTTCCCCTAAGATTCCTACAAACTACCAAATCCTAATTTGTCTTTCAAGAAAGGAGAGTGAGGAGAGAGAGAGAGGAAGGAAGGAAGAGAGAAAGAGAGAGGTAGAGAACAAATAACTGGAAAGAACAGCAGCAGCTTGACCCAAAAAGCATAATCCTTCCCTTTCATCACTTAGGCCTTTAAAGGGCACTTACTTCATTGTATAAGTACATAAAAATAGGGAGATTTGTATGTACCACTATTTGAAGACTTACAAAACCAAAACAAACCACCTTACTTTGGTCTCTATCTAGAAGAGAATAATTGGTAAATAATCACAAAACTGTAAAATCTCCAATAGAGACGAATAAGATTGTCTATGAGAAAATCAGTTTCTATTGAGAATACCATTAAGTCCAATGTGTCATTTTCTAAAGAACTATATAGGTTCCATCCAAGTGGCAGCATCTTCCAGTATGAGTGATGTCATAGTGCAATGATTGACAGATGGTTTCAGGAATCAGAATGTGTACTTTAGAATCCTGGACTTGGAAATCACCAGGTAGATTACTGTAGGCAGGTTATTTTTCCATTTACATATCATAACTTTTAACTGAAAGACATGAGAACAAACATAAAATTTAATCTCATAATATTAGCAATAGAACACAAGTCCTTTTAGAACTTTTATATACTCAATAGTACTTTCCATTTCCATTTACAGAGAGAGTTCAGAAACACTGAAATCTAGAAAAATAGTTCACTTAAAACAGTAGCTATGTTCTATTTATCAGTAATTAAATGATTAAAACATTAAAAGGATTACCAGATGTTAAAACTATGGTGGACATTTGGAAAACATAAAACTGTAGAGTTAAAATACCATAATCCTATATGAGCACAGTTAAGTCAATCCTATAAACTAGAAAGATGTTAGAATATGAGTAACAGATTAGAACTTTTTCTTCCTGTATTTAAACCAGTAAATTGTTCGTTCGGTCCTAACAATAGTGTAGAGTAATTGAAAAGCATTAAACTCAATCTTTTTATCTGGCTCTCTTTCCAATTAAGAGGTCACACCATTTATCAGATGCCAATTAAATAGCACCCACTGAATTATTCAAGCAAATAGAGTCTGCTGAGGGAAAGAGAAGAATCTCAGGAAAAAAAACATACTCCAAGTTTGAAAACTGATATTGCAAATTGGAAGAAACCGTATCTTCTTGTAAATGTCTCTTGCAAATTATCATATTGAATATGCAAGCAGAAGGAGGAGAATGTAAAATGAAGAGCAAATTTCAAACAGCTGTGGATTCTTTCAAGACGTCGAGTTTGCCAAGCACTTCACTTAAACGAGTGTTGTCTCACCTGCAGCTGCATCGCTCATCTCGTTTGCAATACGAGGATGTATCTATGAGAATAAAATTGATGACTGCATTGATTCCTCTAAAAGTTTTAATCCTTCTCCTATACCATGATGTTCCTCAAAATGAAAGCGTCTAAAATCATCACAACCAACATCCTCCTCTGCTCCATTCAAAATGAAATTAAACCACTCGGCTCCAAACTGAACACATACCCAAACCTTCCTTTCCTTTTCCCTCAGACACCCATAGAAGACATCAAGGCAAACCAAGGGCTAGGCTTTTGCCAAGATGGGTAGCCACAGGACGATGACAAGTCAACCAGGGTTTACATGGGCAGGACTCAGTTTTCTACCTAAAGCACAGATTCAAGATGCTGATTTTCCAATTGCTTTCCAATTTGTAACTTTTCCAAGCACTATTGCCTCAGTGTCTAGACTGTCTTCTAAAGTCTCTGAAGAGTAGTAGGCTGTATTCAGGAGCAGGGACTGTAAAACAGTGCCCTTTAATAGCTTTGTGACCCTATTTTAACACCTTATGTTCAGTTTTCTCATCTTTGAACAAGGGAAGCAGCTGTGCTTATCCAACGGAGCTGTCCCGATTAAACATGTCAACACCTGTAAAGTTCCAAAGCCATGTTTGGCACATGGTAAATGTTCTAGCTCCTCATCCAGGTGTACATACACAAATCGTATGGATTTATTAGTACAAACAAGGCCTTGTAGTCACTGATGTTGGTCTTGGGAACTCTCAAGTGCCTCTATGTCAGGTTTGGGCCCTCTGGAGTTTTCCCCCTCCCCATGGTTTATAATCTTACATTGATTTTTCTAAAGTTCAAGTTATCAAGTTATTGTAAAATTAAATTATTGATTTGATAATCCTCAGTGAGTTGATATTTAAAAATATTTCTTTTTATTCTTATTTATATATGTGTGTGTGTACATACAAGTGTGTGTAGGTGTTCAAAGAGACCAGAAGAGGGCATCAGGACTCATGAAGCTGGAGTTACAAATGGTTTGAGCTGCTGGGTATAGGTGCTGGGAACAGAACCTGGGTCCTATAGAAGAGTGAGTGCTCTTAAGCACTGAACCACTAGGTCAGTGAGTTGACTTTTAAATGTGAGATTGTGAAGTCCCCTTTATTTTTGAGGTCTGTGTGGCCACCAGTCCATGAGAACAAAGGGACAGATGTGATGACAGAGAACTCTGGATGGCCCCGTGAACAGAACGGAGACAGCCGTCCAGGAGATGACTTTGGTGAATCAACTCAGCTTTACTCCAGAGTACAGGAAATACAGGATTAGGAGCCTATGGACAAACGCTAATTTGCTTTAAGTGGCATGCTCCTATGTGGCAGTAGGGTCCTATAGCAAAGCTCTTAGTACAAGACTTAGTTACCATATGTGTAGCAGGAGAAAGGCTTCTACCAGGGGACTGTGCCATAGATCACCCTAGAGAATAATCAAGCATCCAGGCTTAGAGATAGCTTTCAGATAAGGTCAGTCCTCCAGGCCCAGAGACAATCTCTAGTTAAGGGCAGGTGGAGAGTAGGAAGTCTTGTTGGGGCAGAGGTGGGGGTGGGAGTGGGGGAGTCCTCATGTTGCTAAGCTTTGGGGAAAGCTTCAAGGCCATGATAGAGTGAAACCTCTGACCAGCCAGCAAGGTTCCCCCAACATGAGATAACCTGATTCATACCACAAATGCTTGGAGAGTCTTTCTAAAAACATAGGTGCTTAACACATATTTCAGAAACTCTTGAAAATGAGGCCCAAGCATCCATATCTCAAAAAGTTTTTGCAAGATTCGGAACTGCATTTCCTCTTCTGAGTGCTTAGTGAATCTCGACCATGGCTGACTTGGGCTTCATAAGGAAAGTTTCCATGCTTTATAAAGGAATTTGGCTGCCTGTTTCATAAAGCATTAGTGGATCCATTTTAATTAGGTCTCCCTCGGCCCTGCAGTTTATATCATACAGTCTTCACAAGCGATTGTTCTTTAGGACAGGAATATTGTTTCCAAGCCCCTTAGCAGTACAGTTTTCAAATGTGGCATTCATCCTGAGCTACTTCTTCTTTCATATTCTTCCCGCAGATACTGCTCTTCAGAGGAATCAGGAAAATGGACAAAACCTTGCAGCTTTCTTTCCAGTATGTTCCGTACTTTGCCTTGATGCATAAGCACAATCCATTACTCCAGACAAAGACAATATAATGTACTTATCCTTAATCACCCTTCTGTTTCCTTTTTTTTTCCCCCGAGTAATCTCATGTGATCAGGATCAGCAATTTAAAAGTTAAATTTGCAAAGTGATTTGATATTCCCCAGCAATAAGAAGCTTTGTTTCTTGGCCATATTATTTCATAACCGTTTTGAGACCCGAGACATGCTGTGGTTGTGACCGGTGGGACTCGGGTGGTGGCGATGACAGGGACTATCATTACCTCCATCATCCTTATTATGACCTCTCGGCTGCACAGCTGCAGCTGAAGCACCTTCAGGAGTGGTTCATTAGCATCCAGATGAAAAACCATAGAGTCTCTCTGGATATTTGAGACTAAGATAAAAAGAATGAATTGGAGGACTAATGACTTGGAAAAAAAATCAAATGGCAGATATTCCTATAAAGGGAGATTGTGGGTCCTGTGTTTAATCTATCAGGAGAATATTTAGCCTAGGTATAAAAGCATATTAGCACAATAGCAAAGATTAGCTCAAATAGCTGTAATGTTTCATTTGTTTCCCATAAGATCCATAAAACTAGAAAAATAAACATGTACCAATAATGTGAGACACCGGACAGCTTGCAAAGAATTCTTTGGGAATAAGAAAACTCCTTTTTATCAAATGTGCTAGAAAATGCTTATGAGATCTATATCACTACCACCTCCTTCTTTCCCTCCTCCTCATTACTTTATACATAATTTTGTACTGTTCCTTGCTATCATTTTTTAATCACGGTTGTTCATTACTTCCAAGTTTTACACCATTCCAGGACTTCATCCAGTCATAATAATATTCTTAACATTGAGGCTCATCTTGGTTCTCCCTACATGTGTCACCTACTTCCCTCTAGCAACACTTTATTTTACAAAACTCCTAAATGTAAGGTTGCAAGTTTGCAACAGCAAATTTTTAATATTTTTGCTTGAAACGACTAAACATGTGTTCTTTCATCATGGGGATGCTCCACATTTGTGGATTAGCTTTAGACAAGAAATGGTGGACCAAGAAGGTTTTCACATTGGAGTGCTGTGAGGAAATGATTCTTAGAAATGGATCTCCCCTTAGACCTGAAGACTTGTCCTTTAGGGAGTCTAGCAAGAGTCATCACGTCAATCACTCAGGAAATGTCACCCTCTGCTCTCAGTAGCTGATCATGTGTTCCTATTTTAGTTATAAATCCTATTTATTTAGCTATATAAATAACCTCATGGTAAATTTTGTCATGAAATAAGATGACATTAAGAAACAATATTTTTTCTACATGTGGAGAGATATTTGGCAGCCCTGAGCAGTGTTATAATTCTTAAACAAATCACTTGCAGTGTATAATTTTTAAGATGTTTCTGTTTTGTGTCTGTTCTTTTACCTTTGGTAGAATATAGTCAGTGTACAGAGTACTAGTTCCCACAAGCACATTTTCATCTGTACATCACGTCCTTTAAGTATATCACCATCCTCTTTCTCCTGCCTCCCCTACTCATTGGCATTCTTTGTTCCCACAGACAATTTAACTTCTACTTTTGTATATACATCTTAGTTTCCTAGATACCAATTTGTGGAATTCATTTCTGGTATTACTATTCAGAGCTAAGGGAAAAATTAATCAAAGCTTTTCTTATAATTTATTTAGACTAGATCGTAGAGGTGAAGGCTCCTGTTTCTGGCATAATTTATGGAAAATGCAGCAGTTCTGGCTGTGACTGGCAATGTCATAAAAAGCAACCTTGAGCTGCATTTACATTTCAACTACTTACATATAAATTTTAAATATAAGTTTAAACCAGAGGTAGGGAAAACCATTCTTGTGGGGATATTTGTACACCATTTAATCAGATATTACTTCCTCTCCCATTTAAAATTAGTTTTGAGCAAGGACTACTTTGTTCAATAATTGAGCTTGACCTGTAAAAGTTAAGACCTATAGTTCCAAGGTCAGTATTTAAAATTACTGAAATAAATGCAGTAATTTCTAGAACTTTATGAAATTCTAGATATTCTTTGAGCTA